TTTTTTTTTTTTTTTTTTTGGATGCTTTGAATGCCCCTACCACGTCCCAAAATCCTCTTCCCTTCGGGTCGCTCCTCTTGGAAAACCATCAGTGGCCGAGTAAACCAGTCCCTGGACGGGGGATAAAACAGCACCAGGAGATGAGGAGGGAGGTGGGACGGGGTGGAATTTGGGTAAAAAGGGAGGGGGAAGATCACCCAAACTCACCTTTAAATCCCTCTTCAGGCATACAAACTGGGATGGGAGGGAAAGGAAGGCGTTAGGAGTCGTTCTGATGGATGAACATCCCAAAGATGGCAAGGAAGTGCCACAATCCCCCTTTCCCACCCAAACTCTTGGCCCCCCCCCAACCTTCCCCCTCCCCTCTGACCTTGCATAACGTCGTCCATCGCCGCGTAATCCGCGATGGGCTCATCAGCCTGGAAAAAACACAGGAATATGGGAATGGAGGAGCCCAGGGAGCCACCTCGGAGGGGAGCAGGGACACGGGAACGCCAGGGGAGATCATTCCCTAATTCAGCTGGATTTTGGGGCTGGTACCCACAGAGCTCAGCAGCAAAACCAGCCAATAGAGGCCCTGGGGAAGAAAAAAATAAGGATTTTCCTCCCCCCCCCACCCCAAATAAGGATTTCCCACCGTCAAAAACAAACAAAAAAAGAAATAAAGATTTTTCTCCTCCAAAATGAAAAAAAGGTATTCCTCCTCTGAAACAAAACCCATCAAGATTTTCTTCCTCCAAAATAAAAAAAGGAGGACTTTCCTCCTCCAAATCAACAAAAAAATGGATATTCCTCTTCCAGAATAAAAAAAAAGATAAGGATTTTCTTCCTCCAAAACAAAACGAAACAAAACAAATGTGGATTTTCCTTCTCCAAAACAAAAATCTGAGGATTTTCCTTCTCAAAAGCAAGTATTTTCCTCCTCCAAAAAATAAACTAAAGAGATTTTCTTCCTCCAAACCAAAACCAATAAAAATAAGGATTTTCCTTCTCCAAAATAAAAACAATTAAGGATTTTGCTCTTCCAAAGCAAACTGGATATGCCCCCTCCAAACCAAAAAAAAATTATGGATTTTCCTCCTGCAAAACAAGTGTTTTTCTCCTCAACAACCCCCCTCCCCCACAAAACAAACAAACAAACAAAAACAAAACAAAAAAACAAAACAAACAACAACAAAAAACCACCAAAAATGCAAACAAAACAAAAAAACCCAACAAAACAACAACAACAACAAACAACACACAAAAACCCCACAAAAAACCAAAAAGAGATTTTCCTCCTCGCAAGCAAAACCAATAAGGATTTTCCTCCTCCAAAACAAAAGAAATCGAGGATTTTCCTCCTCAAAACCAAGACTAAACAGGATTTTCCTCCTCCAGGAAGGGGCTCCATGAGGAACTCCCTGAATTTTCCCCAATTTTCAGAGGTCCCACCACACATTTCCCTTTGACTGCACGAATCCAGCTGGATTCTGGGTGGGATCCCCGTGGATTTTGGGCTGGATCCCCCTGGATTTTGTGTGGGACCCCCATGGATTCTGGGTGGGATCCCTGTGCATTTTGGGTGGATCCCTGTGGATTTTGGGCCACATCCCCATGTATTCTGGGCTGGATCCACGTGGATTGTGAGCAGATGCCCGTGGATTTTGGGCAGATGCCCTGGATTTTGGGTAGGATCCCCCTGAACTGTGGGTGGGGTCCCCATGGATTTTGGGCCAATCCCCCTGGTTTTTTGGGTGGAATCCCCATGGATTTTGGGCCAGATCCCTCTGCATTGTGGGCGGGATCCTCATGGATTCTAGGCTGGATCTCTGTGGATTGTGGGCAGATCCCCACAGATTTTGGGTGATTCCCCTGGATTTGGGGCGGATCCCTGTGGATTTGGGGTGGATCCCTGTGGATTTGGGGCGGATCCCTGTGGATTTGGGGTGGATCCCTGTGGATTTGGGGCGGATCCCTGTGGATTTGGGGCGGATCCCTGTGGATTTG